CTCTTGACAGCAGCGCCACCTTTACCCTGGCATGACCCGGTCGGGCTGCGGGGTGGTATCCTGTACTGACTGCCGATGCCCTGCGGCGCCGCGACATGCGTCGAGCGCCATCCAGCGGCAGCAGCCAGCCGCCCTGTGGTCTTACCAGGAGTGGCACGGTGCTCCTCTCCTCTGGCTCGCCATTGCCTTGTGGTCTCACCAGGAGTGGCACGGTGCTCCTCTCCTCTGGCTCGCCATTGCCGGTCCGCCGTCATGTCGCCCTTTTTGAGGCGGAAGCGCGAGATCAGGAAGTGAAGTTTTCTGTACCAAGACGTGAAGGTAACGTGGAGGTAAATGTGAAGGTAAGCCTCGTGGCGTTGCAAAAGCGCATTCAAGTGTGTTAGAGGAAAAAAGATTGAACCACCAATCTACAAGTATTAGCTGAATACTGCCATGACATCTGTCCCTCTTATCCTCTATCTTTCTTCATCCTGCATCCTCGCGACACACCGCTTGTCCGGGGCAGGCTGCATGCGTCGGCCACGAGTTGGCCGAGAGCCCCGTGGGAAGGAGGACCCCGACCGGGTACTCGGCGCACATGCGCGGGTTAAATTTCGGCGGTTGGCCTCCCAAGTGCATGCAAGTCTGCCCTGCCGTTGACCATTTTTATTCATGCCATTGCCCTGAACTGATCATTTCTGATCGAAAGGGCTTTGATTTGAAGCCGTCGTTCAGCTTCTCCTCGTGATCCACCCGTTCTGTGTTGATGTTGTTGGCCACCCTGACCACCGCCTCTTCCTGAAAGTAGTGGCCCAAGCGCAGATTCGCCTCGAACTTGTTCGGCGCCGCCTGCGCACGCAGTGCGATCTCCGTGAGCAAAGCAACGCCGCCGACGGCTCACAAAATTACAGGGCTCGTACGGGGCTCATCATGGCCGATTATGCGAACGCGATATGTGCCTCGATGTGTGTGCTAGCTTAAAATATTTTACATGTTAATTGGTTTCTGACGCCTGATGCGCGAAGCCTGTTTTAATTGAAATCGTTTGCATGCACAATTGATGATATGATGCGCGATATGATGCTTGTTTACCTCAACTCGTTTGCATGTTTGAATGAGGCATTATGCGTGATGTCTGTTTACTTGAATTCGTTTGCATGTACATTATTTTTCGCGTATTCATTTCTTAGTTAGATATACACTGCATCTAATCCCTGAATGTTGGTGTCCTGTAAAAGCTGTTCCTCGCAGTTAAAAGAACTTGAAAAATTTAGTAGGATTATTGGCAGGCCATTTTGAACTCACTTCTACTATTCGTTTCGACCAAGGCATGTTGCCAAAATATCAACGCATCTATATCTCCATTGTCCTGCTTTTTGTCCACCAAATAAGTCTGTTACTGCTGTCTCATCTATATAGAAGTGGGCCCCGACACAAATTTAAAAATCGGCGGGGCGCGTTCTCACAGAGGTCCGAACCTCTCACTTAAGAATGTCCTGGATGCTCCCCTGGTTGCGGGAAATGTACCCAATGCCCTACGCGCTGAAGCTTATTTTCCGGAACGTCCAATTTTAACGGGATGTTCCACACTTGAAGATATTGAGGTAGGCATCAGATATGATGGGAAAAGCTTACTTGTAACTATTGGTAAGCTTTCATGGTTCAAGAATGATGCTAAGTAACAAAATTCAAAGTTTGTAAAATGCGCCCCATTACGTCATTGTTTGATGGCGTCATGGAATGGTTCTGTGACGACAGCAATATCTGGCAGCATCTGGCAGCCAAACCTAAATAATACCCCGAAACACACGAAAGCTGACGCCAACTAGCCATTCTCGTCGCGGGGTCTGTTTCGAGTGGCGGATTAGTGGGTGGTTTGTTTGTGGATTTTTTGTGTTGGTGTTGGCCGCAAGAAAGGCCTTGGTGGACTGTTTGACATACGCAACGTAGCGATCGCCAGCTTTTATGGCAGATCATTAATATCAAAGCACGATATGCTGTGCTGCTGCTGTTCCCGCTGTGCTGTTGATGATTTTGTCAATACTTTTTTATCAACCCATCGTTGCCTGCAGTGCTGTAGTCCTGACATTGGTGCCATGCGATGTGCACAGAAGTCACTTTATTTATTGTTTGTACCTGAAAATGCAGTGTCATGCGAAGATTAATCAATTTGTAACGTTGCTATGACTTTATTGCCGAAGCATTGCTATTGCTATGGTAAAGATGGTAAGGTTGGGCTACCACGAATGTGTTTTTTGTTTGCTTAGGATTTATTATGCAATTCATAGTTAACCCTATAAAACGATTGTGGTGCAATCACATTCTTGCTGTTGATAGTCCTTAGTTATCGTTGAATCAGTTGTTACCAGCCATTTACAAATTATAAGCTGCTGTCTCATAGGCTTGACAGAGTAGTCAACCAATGTGGTTCATTGTGTAATGGTTCGGGTCACCAGCTGTGGCACTACCTCAGTGCTGTACTGTGGCATGACATAATGAACAATTACATGGTTTTTGTACTGCAATCCATGCTGTTTCCATAATATATTCCATCAGGAAAAGATGGGTCAAGTGTCCTCTCTTGTACTGACTCCCCATCTGACATATAACTGACCAAAAACACATGATACAATATACAAATCACTTTCAACAAGGCAGACAACCAATAAGTGACATCACTTGCTCAGCCTGTTTTGGGAATACACCAAGCGTAGGTGAGAAATGAGAAATAGAAG